AAATCAGAAGACCTTGCAATTCTCTTCCCTTGGGTGTGTGCCGTTAACTGGAGCTGATTGGCCACCGTTTTGCCTGGGGTCTCCCATTTCCTATTGCTTTCTCCTGGACCTGTGGCACTGTCTCAACTGGCCACAGCTGCGTATGAATTTGTGGGTCTTTTCAGGTGCAGTCTTTGTACTGACTCAGACTTTATCGTTATGCTGTACTTATTCGAAGTTCATTGTTACGTCTCAGAACACTTAGCGTAGCTTTTGGAATCAGTTTAGGAGTCACAAAGAAAAGCAGTGTACGTCTATCAGCGCCCCGAATCATCAGGGCCAGGATTACTGTTTCTCAGTGTCTGAAGCATTCCTCGGTCTTATCTTTAAAAGCTTCCCGCTACCTCACTTTTTCATGGAATACGCCCATAGTTTACTATGACATACATGTTCCCCTTGCAATGATCTCCTAGTCCCATGTAAATGCCATTACTCTATAGAAATAGCTCTTTGAACTTTTGTTTGTTTTTAGGTTGGCAGAAATTAGACAGGCCATCCTACTCATACGGTGAACTCTAAGATCCTGGGGCAGGGCACTGTATTAAATGGAAGCAGAAAAGCCATCAAGTAGCTAATGAATGAAATCACCTGGGCAAGTCTTCCTCTCTGACTGATGCTCGTGTGAGAGCAGAGGCCTGAAGTCAGGCCAGAGAGAATGGGGTAGGCAAGGGGCTCCTGGAAGCAGGGGCAAGTGTCTGCTGGGGGATTTGGAGACGCCCACACCATTCGGTGTGGTCGAAGCATTTGGTGCAGGAAAAGGCAAGAACAGATGTGTCCAGAGGTGAGGAGCAAGAGAGGGAGTTGCGCTTTTACGGGGTCACGTGGGCCGTTTGATCCTAACCTAACCGCCGCAGGAAGCCATGGACAGTGTGCAGCCGGGGGGCACGCTTGCAGTGCTGGCTGGAGACTTTGAAATGGGAGGAGGAGGGGCTGGAAGGTGAAGAGAGAGATGCTGGATGCTGATAACGCAGTGACCCTGGCAAGAGAGGAAGAGAAACCCTTGGGACATAGCAGAGGACGGGAATTGAGGCTCGTGTGGAGCGATGGAGACTAAGAAGAGGGTTGTTTGAACGGCTGGATGGCGGTGCTACTCCACAGAGTGTGGAGGAGACTCCGTTCTGATTAGTAAGGACACAGTCCTTTCCATGGCTGCCCATTTCAAAATGGCAAATACCGCTTAAGGGACTCCTGGGTACCTTTGGGATGCTTATTTTAACTCCTAGTCATGGTTCTCAGGGCCCTGACGTGGGAACGCCTCTAGTCACCCAAATTTGCTTTCTGGTGGCTTTAAGCAAGGCAAGCTGAAGGTAACTGCCCCTCTGGAGAAAAGCAAGTGCGTGTCACCGGGACCTCAGCAGCTCAGAAGACAGGCTCTGTGCACGCTCTACCTTTAATGTAGCAAACTTTCCATTCCCCACCCCTTGCCCTGGCATCTGCACACACAAATCAAAACCTTCTTAAGTCATGGAATTAAAAAAAAAAAAAAAGAAAAAGAAAAAAAAAAAACAAGCAAATAAAAGGTACTTCCTGGGGCGGGGGAGTGGAAATTTTTTTCTTTTTTGTGCTCAGTTTGTTTTTCAGGCACAAGAAAAGTGATTCTGAATATTTAAAACCACAAACACTGTATTCTTTACAGAGATTTTGGGAAGGGCCACATAACTGGGATGTTGGCGATAAACATCATTTACATAGAAGATATCTTTGCTCCCCTGCTTGGTACCAAATGTCCCACATATTGAGAGGCATAGAGGTTGTAGAGAAGCAGACAGATCCATATCAAATAAAAATATACATACTCTGAATTAAAGTGGAATTCAACCATAACTGGTCCAACCTTTCTCCCCCTGAGGAAGAAACAGTACACTTAAATTTTATTAGAAAAGTCGTTTTTGTAATTACAGGAATTTGGAACTTCCTCTAGGACCTAAATACCCTTCCTCCATGAACATAGGAAGCCAAGGAAGTGAAAACTGTGAACTCAAGTTCATTGCTTGTGAATGGAAAAAGCTGATGATTCAAGGACAAGTTATCAGGGCAAGGAGAGATTTATTTGTAAAGTTATCAAACCCGCTAAGACAGAGAGGGGGAGGCTGTTGCCAACAGAACCATCATCTAGCACCAGGGCTGTGGCATGCGGGTTACGTAGGGATTTTTGGGGGGAGGCACCAGGGTAATTATAAACTTTGGATGCTGTGCTTCTGTAATGCGTGGGCTGCTGTTATCTGTAGTCAGTGGAAAGTCTGGATTCTGTAAATCTGAAGAAAAGTTACTGATTAGAAAGGCTTATGACTCATGCCTTTTTAGTTCCATTTCCCAGAAACAGTTAATTCTTCAGTGAATTACTAACCATACAAAAGTCATCTTTCCCCGCTGAGAACGGTGAGAACGTGTTGGGTAGCTTCAATCACAGGGGTCATCTTCAGCAAAGTGAGTGGTAGGTGAATACCATCCAGCCATGTTACTTCCCCATGTAATGATTAAAAAAAAAAAAAAACAAAAAAAAACAAAACTCAGCTAACAACCAGAGAAGCTAAAGAGCTAGTTTAGGACTTTGCTTTATAAAAACATAACCAGTAGTTTCCGGCAAGATGAACATGGACCAGCATCAGTCTGTATGATGGTAATGTAGAGCATGGAACCTGGAGTTCCACTGTGTTGGGCTTGACCTGGTTTCCCTATTTGTCAACCATGTGACCCCAGGTTAATTGCATGTCCCTCTCATTCTCAGTTCTTCATCCAAGACCCGGGAATGAGAGTGAGATCTCCTTGGTAGAGATGTTGGGAGACCTGAATGAATGAGTGACTGCATTAGAAACAGTTCAGGTGCTCGGTAAATGCTCATCATTTGGTTCTTACCTCGACTCTTCCTCAAGAAACCATAGCTTGAGCAGGACAGTGGTGTTGCACGCCTTTAATCCCAGCACTTGGGAGGCAGAGACAGGTGGATCTCTGTGAGTTCAAGACCACCCTGGGCTACAAAGTAAGTTCCAGGACAGCCAGGACTGTTATACAGAGAAACCCTGTATCGGACAGAAAAAAAAAAAAAGGAATTGGAGCACCTTGATGCTCACAAGAGCACTCCATCCTTGTGGTGTAGGAGCTAGCTCTCTGGAGGCAGTAAGGGGAAAGGACCCACACTGGAAAGTGTGAGTTGCTTGCACACGTTACAATGAGGATAGGCTAAATATGTAGTAATTAAGGAAGACCACAGCTACACCTTTGTGACTGTGATAGTTAAATCCCTGCTACAGGCCGATCATGGAGATGTGGACAACCAGGAGAACACTGCCTAATTAGCAGCCAGCAAGACACAAGTAAGGTTGTTCATGGCAACACTAGCCATGGGTTGAGAGTCAAGGTCAGCATCAAACAAAGGGCAAGTCAGAGATGGGCAGAGTGAGTGGGTTTCAACCATTGAACTGGGTTGGTAGCACATGAACAGTGTATCAATGACTTCTTTTTTTTTTGAGACAGGGTTTCTCTGTGTAGTTTTGGTTCCTGTCCTAGATCTTTCTCTCTCTCTGTGTAGACCAGGCTGGCTTCGAACTCTCAGAGATCTGCCTGGCTCTGCCTCCTGAGTGCTGGGATTAAAGACATGTGCCACCACCACCTGGCCTGTATCAGCAACTTCTTGGGCCAAGGGCACATGTATAGAGCATGTGGTCTCTCCATTGGCTTAGCAGTTGGCGGCCCAGAGAATAGTCAGTCTCGTGTCAGTTACCTCAGACTTTGTCCAGTCTTTAATTTCTCACTTTCTTCAGTTGTTTACTTTCTTTTGATTCTCTGTAAGAAAGTTTGCTCCCACTTTGCCCACTTCCGTGAGCATTCCCATTTCTAATCCTCATTGGCACAAGACAAAAGACTTAGAGCCACTGTCCCGGGTCCATCTAACTGTAAGTGTCTGGGCTGTGAAAGGCCCCATGGCTCTCAAAAACCCGGCATCAGTTGGCCCCACACCTCAGTGGGATGGTTGTTGGAAAAGTGCATCACCTGTGAGCTTACCGACAACTCCTCCTGATGGTGTCGGGGGTACAGTGGAAAGGGAGGGAAAATCGGGTCAACAAGTTCTCAGGGGTCCTGGGAGTCTGCTATCATTTGAGGCCGGTTCAACCCTCATGAGCATCTTTCACACTCTGATGAAGTGCAAGACTCTCGGAAAAGACACCAAGAGACAGCCCTGGCGGCTTGAGAAAGCGGCAGAATCAGCTCCCACCCCCACTTCTAATGTTAGGGTGTCTCTAATGTCCAGGATCTCTAACTGTGGTTCTGTAGCTCCACACTTGGATCTGCTTCAGAGCAACACCTGGGTTACTCTCCAGTGACATCGTCTTCTTCTCTGCTAGAGGTCACTTCTGAGGGTCAAGGATTAGTCACTCCTAAGAGGCCCAGCCTAGATCCAGCATTCTGGAAGTCAGATCAGAGCTCTGAGTGACAGAATCACACAGGTCTTGGCCTGAATGGCTCCTTCTGCTTGGTTAAGATGGGAACGTGAGAACTAGACTCTTCAAATGCCAGCACAGACACTCACTACGGGACATGGACCAGGTCAGACACTTTACTTCTCTGTGCCTCAATTTCCCCTGTTTGTGAGGTGGGAAAAATAATGGCCCCCAATACAGAGTGATTAATAGTAATAAATAACTTAATACATATATAATAATATGAATATGTATACAAAAATCTGTGTAAAACAATGTAAATATAATATTAACTATATTCATAGTATGGTAGATTTTATACACAGTAAACATGTATTATTCTGCATTGAAATGTGTGTGTGTGTGTGTGTGTGTGTGTGTGTGTGTGTGTGTGTGTGTGTGTGTGTGGTGTATGTCAGGGTATGCATAGGCCAGAAGAGGACATTGGATGTTTTTCTCTATCATTCTCTTGGCTGCTGCTCGAGAGAGGGTCTCTCATTGACCCTGAAGCTCCCCATTTTACCTGGGCTGGCAAGTGAGCTCTCGGATCTACCTGTCTCAGTTCTGCTATGCTGTGCTGGGGTCCCAGGTATGGACAGCTACACCAGGTTTTTACTTGGTTGTTAAGGATTTGAACCCAGGTCCTCATGTTTGGCAATAATTGCTCTTAAACACTGAGTTATCTCTTTTTCCCCCATCTACGTTTACATTTCATGTCTATTTTTAATTAAGATATATTTTACATAAAATGTAGGTGTCTGTAAATAAACCATTTGTATTATTACTGTTGCTACTGTCTCCTTTTATTTTTTTTTTTTCATTTTTTGCAGGGACAGGCTTTTTAGCTTTCATGCTTCCCTGCGTCTGTTCATGCATACAGACTGCTGAGTTTCTACAGATGGCTGTAACACAGAGAGCTGGGGTTAAGTTGATTTAAACCTGACCCTATCATTTATAAAACTATAATCTACAATGAGTGCCATGTAAATATTATTTCATAGCTTCCTGGAACATTCCTCTTTCAGATGTTTTTAAAATTTCAAGTTCTTCAATAACTCCATTTATTTTTCTGTTTTACTTCAAAGGACTGTTGATCTCTGGAGCAAATAGCCTGGACAGAAATGTGTCAAAATATGTCTTATTCGTCATGTGGGCTGAATCTCGCAGTCCCCAGCAGCTATGGATCAAGAGATGTTTCTGAATGAATGGCCTCTGAGAGCAATAGGCTTTGTATCTCTAATCAGAACGAGGGCAACATTTTCCTCCTGTCTTCATCGTCCACGAGAACCCATAAAACAAACACCCACCTCACAAGCAAGAACGCTTCCTACACAGCACTGCTACCAAGGGCCCATGAAGTCCCTAGCTGTACGAAGGGCACATAAATAGCTTTGGAAATAAAATCCATTCACTCATCCATTCATTCATCCATTCATTCATCCATCCATTCATTCATGTAGCACTGGGCACTCCTCACGCAGGAGGCGCTGTGTTGCTGTTCATGTAGAACTTTAACTGGCAAATGTGACACGGTATCAACCTCCGCAAACCCACTTCCTCTTCAGCAAATAGAAAATAACCGAGGACGTGAATTCGCTGCCACTGTTGAACACTGGAGGGGAGGCCTGCCGCTGCTCCTGGCAGACATGAAGTCATACTTCTGGTGTGTCTTGGCCCTCGGCTTCCAAATCGGAGTTTTAACAGGTGAGTGGCCCAGCTGAACTTCTTATTAAATTCAAGTTTGAACATTAAGAAAAATCTAAAATAGAAAAATCTGGTACAAATGGATTTTTTTTTTTTTGGAAAGCACAGATGAATTCTGAAGCACTCCAGCCCATGGCTCAGGGCTCCATGCTGCCCCTGTCAATGTGGATGGCATTGAGTTGGCATTGCTTCTTTTGATACTATGTTTTAACATGAAAAAGTATGTTTCCACAGACCATTAAAAATTTAAATTCCTTGCTCGGAGTTACCTGCCAGTGGGTAAAGCAGAAGACTGGCTCCACTGTCTCCAGAGAAAGATGAAAGGCAAGATAACTTGTGTCAACAGAAGGAAAATTAAATAACCCTGGCATTTGGGCCGGGAATCCTATGGTAGAGAATAAAGTGGATGGACTCCCAAAAGAAGAATTTTGACTTTAATCTTACTTGGATGGTTCTATGTCTTAAATTCGTAGCTGGCCATAAGGTTTTTTCCCCTTTTTCCTTTCTCTCTTTCTCTCTTTCTCTCTCTCTCTCTCTCTCTCTCTCTCTCTTTTTCTTTTTTTTTTGAGATAGAGCTAAACCAATCCTGGTTGCTCTTATAAAGTATTTAGACACTAAATATGAGGGTCATTCTGAAATTTAAAAAAGGGAGAGTGGATGACTGCAAACATTCACCACCCCTATAGACCTTAAGTAGTCTGTCTGGTGTCTTTTATTCCTTTTTGTGGGTTGCATTTATCAGACCTCACATGTGCAGTGTAAATTATAACACATGTTTTTTTTTTTTTGCTGATTCTCATTACATACACGTATATATTATTTTTCCTTTTTTTCTCTAACTATGGGTCCTGTTCCTAAAATTGAGAAAAATGAAGTGAAACATTAAATGTGGGAAAATACCTTTAATAGGAGAAACGAAAGCAGAATATTCAGTGTTATAAACCCATCCAGAAATGCATTTCTCAGGGGTACAAAGAAGTAGACATTACTTTTCTCTCCCAAAAAAAAAGAGTCAAAACTAAAATTGGATTTATTCAGCATTTGATCTTGTGTTGTCTCAAAGCTATGTACATGTTCTTAAGAAGAATGAGGAGTGATTGAAGAAGGCTATCCCTCATGGGTTTACCTGGATTAAGTACCAAGAACAGCTCTGGACCACTTGCTTTCTCTCTCTCTCTCTCTCTCTCTCTCTCTCTCTCTCTCTCTCTCTCTCTCTCTCTCTCCAAACCTTCTGAAATGCTTAGCAGGATAAAGGATGCAATAATAGCCGTGGCAGGGAAATCCATTCATTTAGTCATCCACTCCTCTGTTCATTCATGCAGCACCGGACACTTGCCACGCGGGAGGTGCTGTGTTAGCCACTGTATGGACAATGGCGAGCAAAACTAGGTGGTGCCCACTCTGCTGAGACTGGCCAGGCACTAGCAAAAGAGACACTGATCAAGTAATCCTATGAACTGTTGACAAGTATAGGTAAAACTCAGTCCCATGAGAGTGTACCAAGGAGTCAGGTCAGACAGGGAGGCTATGTATGGACCTGGAGCCACACAGACGTTCCTGTGGAAATGGCGCTTGAGTTGAAATGGGAAGGACAAATAGGAATCAGTGGGGAGATCAGCATCAAGGCAGAAAAGAAAACTCTATGGAAAGTCAAAACAAAGCATCCATAGTGTTCAGAAGAAGGTCAGAGGGCTGGACCAGGGTAGATGCAGCTGAGCACAGGAAGAAGTTGAGGATGACGCAAGATGAGACTGAGAAGGAGGAGGTCAGGGGTCAGATTACTCAGACAGCAAGGATCATGCTAAAGATTTTGGCTTTTCTTTCAAGAAAATTTGTACAAGTTATTGCATGGTTGTTTGTGTGCTGCCTCAAAAGTTTTCTGCATACCAAACCCATTTGGGCAGTTCTGGTGTAGGTGGTGTACTCAAAAGAATTGTGTGAGCAGTGATGCTATTTCTGGAGGAGGATAGAGCCAGCCACAGGATTATCACAAGTCGTCAAAACAAGCTGATCAATCAATTCTTCTGGAATAGTCACCTGAGATCCCAAAGGAATAAAACCAATGTTAATTATTCTTATCACACGAAAAATCGTATTATGTAGAATGCCATTTTCCAATGACAGTCATCCAAACAACGGAGGCATGAACAGCTAAAAGGTGATAATAAACACACTAACAATCATATTCAAAGTGACCTCCCCCAGGGTACATACACCCAGGAACTCCTATTTTCACAGCTAGAAACACAAAGCCAAACTCGAGTCAACTATGAGACTTATGGGTCCTCTCTAATACTTTTAATTCTTCCAACTCTTGGCTTACCCATGATATGGTGATGTAGAGATTCTTGCTCTCAAGCAGGGCTGAGAAGGACTCAGCAAACCAGGAAAGGCTAAGTGATTCATCACATAGTGGTAGAACCATCATTAGAACCCCAGTGTGCGCAGCTAGCTCTGTTGAAGCAGGAGCGAAATAGCACAAATCTCCAGGGGCAAGATTCTGACCAACTTGGTTGTTGAGTTGGTGAAGTAAGAAGGCTGAGAGTCTTGGACATTCCCAGTCTTCAGTGGATCTCAATGTAAAGCTTAACAAAGTCTTATTATTCACAATCCTGGGATAGTAGGAGGCTCTTCCTTACAGAAGAATCTGCAGGAGGAAATTATACAAGAAACACTTCTTCCCAGGCAACGGGGATGTTGTGGGTGACCTGCTGAATTCCGGCTTTAGAGAGACTGTGCTGAAATCAGTGTGGAGAAGGCAGCCAGTGAGAATGATTGCTAGTGGGTGATGTCTAATAAATGTGTGTCTCATGAGGTATCCTCTCAGGAAGCCAGGAGGGTAAACCTTAGGCCTACTCTATCTCTGACAGGGACTGAAAAGTTTCTCTTGGGAGAAACAGCCCTGCGGTGTTCTTAGCACAGAACTCGGGGATGGACTGACCTCGGAGGCCATCCCTTTGAGCACCTATTTCATGCTGCATTAAGAAACTCTGCATCAGCAACCTTTTCTTTGGATAGATGAAGCCTTGATTTTATTCCTCCGAGAGTGTATGCATGTATTTACCTCTTCTTTTCCCATGTTATCAAGTCTTCTCATTTTCTTTTACATTTTGTTGGAATGGCAACATTTTCTTTTAATATTCTTTGCTTCTGGTGAATTTGGAAGGTTGGTGATACTTCTTAAGTGATTTATTTTTGTTTTCTGTGATTGGATGTGTTCCTTGCACTTAGGTCTGTCTACCACATTCATGCCTGGTGCCTGTGGAGGCCAGAAGAGGGTGTCGGACTCCTGGAACTAGAGTTAGAGATGGCTGTGAGCCATCGTGAGGGTGCTAAGAATTGAACTCTGATCCTCTGGAAGAGCAACAAGTGCTCTTAATCACTGAGTCATCTCTCCAACCTCTGATGATACTTCATAAATTATTTAGTCATTATGTTCAGAGGATCACAATAGATTAGTTAAATTCATGCATTTCTGGTAATTGAACCCAGGATCTTACATCTGCTAAGCAAGGGTTCTACAAATGAGCTGCGTCTCCAATCCTATTTAGAAATAAGCATAGCTATGCCCTTGCCTGGAATGCCTAACCCCTACTCACCACACTGGCATGAGAACCTTGAAGTGCCCTCCTTCTCCCCACTCTCTTCTTGGCTCTATCACCGGCCCATGAATGGGCTTTGCCAAACTAGTGTCAAGCAAGCTCATCACCATGTTCTGTCTTGACAGCTTTCCTTTCCTATCCGTTCTATCGTTTACCCTTCTATCACGGAGCTGGTCTTCAGTGACCGCATCAGTGCGGATGCTGCTCCTGTCTTGTGACCTCTGTTCTGCCAGTGCTCTTAGGCCTTCCCTTAGTGCCAGCGCAGGGGACAATGTCCCTTTTCCCCCCTCTCTAGGGTGACTGATACCTTTCCTATGATTGGGAGTTCTGGACCGCAGTCTCTTTTCTTGGAAGATTTTCATCCACTCTCTGTGGCCTTGTGGGTTGTGGTGAAGTACTTCAAGTTAGTCTGAGTCTTGTTCTTTTTTAACTTAAAAAAAGAAAAGCCCTTTTAGAATTTTGTTAAAAAAAAAAAAAAAAAAAACAAAATTTTGAGACAAGGTCTCATGTAGCCTAGACTGGCTTTGAACTTCTGATTCTCTTTCCACCACCTCCCAAGTACTGGAGGATTACAGATATGTGCCACCACTGGTTTATGTGGCTGGAGACTGAACCCAGGGCCTCTTGTACTCTGCCAACTGACAAACTGCCTTACTTCTGATATCTTGAAAGTTGTTTGTTTTAATATTGGAATTCAAGAATTCCATGCTCATGTGGCTCTTTCTCACGTATGTTACTGAATTTTGTATAGGACCAGATACTTTGTTTCCATTTGTGAATTAAACTTTATTCTTCATTTCAGGTATTTTTTTTTCTTCTAGTTTTTGATCACATTTTCCTCTCTGTCTCCTCCACCCCATCTCTTTCTAGAAATCTCTATTACTCTCACATAGAAACTTTTTTCACCAAAGTGAACACAATTGCTTTCATTTTTGTGTTTACTAACTACAGATATGATAGAGTGTTAGACCTTCTAAGTTACTAGTTCCTTCCTAGTAATCCGTAGGCACACAGGGAAAAACCCCCGACTTTTGTCTTAGCTTTGCTCATAACAACCTCTATCACATTCATTACTTGATGCAAAATGTACACCCGTACATGTAGAAACTGAACAGACACCACCATTCATGCGACTTTCCTATTCTAAGGTCATTCAGCTTGAGATGTAAAGTGAATTACTGGGCTTCCCAATTAAAAAATCATATGTAAGAATCATTGTTATATTTTCTACATAAGTGGTGACTCTGTGATGTTATTCTTCTAACAAACTAAGCCAAGTAGTGGCTTTCAGTTATTCCAAGAAAATAATTGAAATTTTATAAAAATTCAAAATTACATTCTGAAAAGTGGAATGTATATAGATCAAATATACAGTATACATAGACTATGAAATATAAA